AGGATGTGGAAGCATCCATTTCTATCACCAGGGAACATTATTCAATTATGCCAATTTTATTCTACTTCATTTGTAGTGGCTTTGTTCTATGGATTCTGAGCTTTGTAGTTAGCACTAGATCTCTCTGGCTGGAAATTTCAAAGTTCTCTCCTTAAACTGCAAATCTCAGGATTCTGTAGGATGTTGCCATGGCAGTTAAAGAGGAATCATAATGCTACAACTGAGAAATGTGAGTAGACACCAGTACAGAGCTTGCCGCAATGCAGAATAATGTAACAATTGCTGGAGTGGGACCTGCAAGAATATATTGCAACACAGAAGCAGAGGTAAAACTGTAAAATAATTGAGTATCCCATCCCCTCCATTGATCCCTCAAGAATTAATAAGCAGTCTGTGGCCATATCATATAATGTCCTTACTGGGTTGTGTGTGATGGGACTTCTTCATATTATTTTTTCCCTGCAAAATGTGGTTTTCTGTAACACGTCCTCTATAAGTACCTCATCACATTGATGAGGTTCCCCGTACCAATTTGCCAGTCTCCGTGATAAATAAGTGGGATAGTGGAGCAATCCTGGTACCCTGTGCCCCTCCTGGCCAACAGTAACACTCCCCCATCACATGTGGGGAATCATCACCACACAGCTTGTCCACACAGTAGCCCCATTGTTCCAAATAGAACACAGGGAAGCTCCCATGTTGGCAGCACAGTGGCCTTCCACGCTGCCACCTCAGTTGAGCAATCGAGCCCCGCAGGAAGTGAAGGTACTTTGTGTGTTGGGTGGTGTGGTGCCCCATTGCTCAACTGAGGTGGCAGAGTCCTAGGACACTAAAAGTTCCTCGTGTGATGAGGTCCTAACATACTCCCAAGCTGTTAAGATTTGGCAGTATTAGTCCCAATTGATCCAGTGTTGCCCTACTTTTCCAATTGTTTTTGAAATATCCTGGTTTCTCTCTTCTCAACTTCCCCATTTTATCCTCATCTTACTTGGTGCCGATGGAATTCCAAGTGCAAAAGTTGTTTTTGCTCAAGCAACTCAACTGGAGAAGAATGGGAAGAATCATAGAATCAAAGAGTTGGAAGAGACCTCATGGGCCATCCAGTCCAACCCCCTGCCAAGAAGCAGGAATAATGCATTCAAATCACCCCTGACAGATGGCCATCCAGCCTCTGTTTAAAAGCTTCCAAAGAAGGAGCCTCCACCACACTCCGGGGCAGAGAGTTCCACTGCTGAACGGCTCTCACAGTCAGGAAGTTCTACCTCATGTTCAGATGGAATCTCCTTTCTTGTAGTTTGAAGCCATTGTTCCACGTCCTAGTCTCCAAGGAAGCAGAAAACAAGCTTGCTCCCTCCTCCCTGTGGCTTCCTCTCACATATTTATACATGGCTATCATATCTCCTCTCAGCCTTCTCTTCTTCAGGCTAAACATGCCCAGCTCCTTAAGCCGCTCCTCATAGGGCTTGTTCTCCAGACCCTTGATCATTTTAGTCGCCCTCCTCTGGACACATTCCAGCTTATCAATATCTCTCTTGAATTGTGGTGCCCAGAATTGGACACAATATTCCAGGTGTGGTCTAACCAAAGCAGAATAGAGGGGTAGCATTACTTCCCTGGATCTAGACACTATGCTCCTATTGATGCAGGCCAAAATCCCATTGGCTTTTTTTGCCGCCACATCACATTGTTGGCTCATGTTTAACTTGTTGTCCATGAGGACTCCAAGATCTTTTTCACACGTACTGCTCTCAAGCCAGGCATTGTCCCCCATTCTGTATCTTTGCATTTCGTTTTTCCTGCCAAAAAGTTGTTTTGGTTCAAGCAACTCAACTGGAGAAGAATGGCAAGAATCTTGACCCTCTCACATATTTATACATGGCTATCATATCTCCTCTCAGCCTTCTCTTCTTCAGGCTAAACATGCCCAGCTCCTTAAGCCGCTCCTCATAGGGCTTGTTCGCCAGACCCTTGATCATTTTAGTCGCCCTCCTCTGGACACATTCCAGCTTGTCAATATCTCTCTTGAATTGTGGTGCCCAGAATTGGACACAATATTCCAGGTGTGGTCTAACCCAAGCAGAATAGAGGGGTAGCATTACTTCCCTAGATCTAGACACTATGCTCCTATTGATGCAGGCCAAAATCCCATTGGCTTTTTTTGCCACCACATCACATTGTTGGCTCATGTTTAACTTGTTGTCCACGAGGACTCCAAGATCTTTTTCACACGTACTGCTCTCAAGCCAGGCATTGTCCCCCATTCTGTATCTTTGCATTTCGTTTTTCCTGCCAAAAAGTTGTTTTGGTTCAAGCAACTCAACTGGAGAAGAATGGCAAGAATCTTGACCTTTCCAGTTGGCTCAGACAAAAACAAACTGCCCCAACCCCTCTGTGGTTTTGTGTTCTTCTTCACTTATAAGTTTTGCTATCATGATCACAGTCTGATGTTTCTTGTCCACATTTGTACTGAAGTCTTGGAAGGCATGCCCCAAACATGCCTTCCATGACCAGAAAGAAAGGTGGGTGGTGCCATTTTGGCTAGTTTAAAAATAGCACTGTGCACTTGGATGGAAGGGATAAATTCAGTGATTTAATAGATTTGTGCTGTGCCCTCCTATAGGTTTCTACTTTACCCTTTATTCTGGGTCATCTTACCAAACATATTCTGAAGGGAAGGCAGAACTTTGGAACTTATTTGATTCCTGTTGCTTGCTTCTTCTCATATGAATATCTATGTTGCTTTGCATTTGGGTCAATGCAATCAAGTTTCTGCTAAAAACATGCTATTTGCATAGTAACGATCATTGATCATTGAAAGCCGGGGCAAGTGATAAGAAGAATCTCCGAATAGATACAGATTAACTGGCAAATGCCAAATCAGTCTCAGTTCCTCAGCCTAAACTAAAGACAGAACTGTTTTGGAGTCTCTTTCTCTGTATAACTTCAAAAAGGGATTGGAGAGCAACCTGCTGAGGAAGTTCCAGCTGGCATTTCTGAGCAGAGGGTTGGACTCAGTGGCCTGGAAAACCCCTTCCAACTCTATGATTCTATTTGATTTTCTATATGGTTCCTCCTTTTCCTATTTTTTTGTTTTTGTTTCATTTGATCTGTCTGTTTGGAACTGTTGCTTTAATCCCCTTCTTCTTCCTCTCTTTTTCATGGCATATTTTAGACCAGAGTGTTTACTTTTTTTCCCCTGAAACTGACAGATAATAGGAAAGCTTTGCTTCTCATGTAAATAAGTGTAGGAGTTGTTGTTGTTGTTGAGATTGTACATAGAACATTTTGCAGTTGGTTACTAATTGCATTACTCTTTGAATTTGTCAAACTTAAAACAAAGACAGAAAAAGAAACTTGATTATTTACAAATATGACCAAGTAGGGTAATCCAGAGGAAAGGCAATTAAGTTCAACTGTGCAAAATTTCTGTAAAGTTGACTCACTATGCATTGCTTGTAATTATTTTCCTGAAGGGTTTCAAAGATGCCTCAAGTTCTTCAGGGAGAGATGCACAGATGAACGGAGATCTCCATTTTATTTTGCTTTCATGTTTTCCCCCAATTGCTCCTGTTTTTTTTTTAAAAAAAATCTGTTCATTGCCCTTTTCATTCATGCATTTGCATCAGTGGCTTGAAACTTGTGATCTTTTTGTTCTATATCATGAATCACTGATGTTCTAACAAATCTATGGCCTCCTATTTGTACATAATTGTGTGTGAGTGTCCAGAGAGCAAATAAACAAAGCATTAAAAAGAAAGAAAGAAAATGTACATGCCTTAAAAACTGCCTGTTGCCATGACTTTCATACAGCTTTCTTGAGTGAGGAACACCAAGAGGTGGTTTTGCCACTTCCATCTCTGAACTGCAACCTGCAGTATATTTTGGCAGTTTCCCAATCTGCCAAAATATACTGCTTAGCTTCCAAAATCGGATAGAATTTAGTGCCATATATAAAAATACATTAAAGAGTACACAGAATATGTGCAGCTGTGCTAGGAGATGTAGCATCCTATTCAACCCTCCCAACCCACCTTTTCTCAGCTGCAGCTCCCTCAACTTGGCCATTTCATGGATGGAGGAGCAAGCATGCAGGGCAGCACCCCGGCACCCAGTTATTGCCATATATCAGCAAAAGGCATCTGCAGGAACTTTGAGGTTTCTCCAAAGGTTCCTGCAGATGATATCAGTTCTGGAAATGGCAATATATGTCATATAGAAAATAACTCTGCTGCTCCCTCTGCTTTCCACCGAACAGGAAATGGGCAGATTTGGGGGAATTTGGTGCAATGCATCCTAAATGCCACAGTGACCCAAAAAAGTGTATCACAATGGAGTTAAGTACAACTCATGGATAAATGGCTGGGGAAAAGCTTGCATTCACATCTTTATAGGCTTACAAACCTATAGACCCATTTATCCCATTGGGTAACTAAAACTTAGTAACTTTTTTCACCTATGACCAGTAAACTGTTCCAAACATAAGAGAAACCTGCACGGTTTCCCTTTATCTCTTTCAGAGGTCAAACAGATGAGAATCTCACAGATGTGCTGGATTACAATCCCCATAATCCTGTCTTTTATATTATTACACCATACCTGTAAGACAGTGTATCTAACTGAGGAAGGCTGCTTTAAACCCATATCATAATTATTCTGCAAGTGCAGATATGATTTAATCAAATGCAATATATAAGCAAACCTATTCAGATCTCTGAAACAGCATCATTACATCATCATCACCACCATCATCTAGCACTGCTGCTATTTGTTGTGTACCCAAAACAAACTCACTACGATGTTTTCTTGGCAAGATTTATTCATTGCCTTCCTTTGAGACTTAAGTGAGTGGCACTTGCTCAATGTCACTTAGTGAGTTTCCATGACTAAGTTGGGCTTTGAACTCTGGTCTCCAGGGTCCTAGTCCAACACTTAAACCACTGCACTATTTTGCATGCACAGCTCCTGTTGTTACTACACTATATATGTTTATTGTTTGACAGAGAGATTTCGGGATCTACTCTTTCTACATTCCAGCTTGGATGCTGAGATTCTGCCAGTCTTCCATCAGAGGCATTACCCAAAGTAAGTAAACATCTCTTCCTTGAAAGCAGTTGAATTTTTGTGTTTTGTTTTTTAAACGAGCCCCCCTGCAGTTTTCCATGTTTCAGTAGATGGGGGAAATCTGCTATCTACACTGTTGGCCAAGACTCATGGACCATGGTCTGGTGAAATTGATCTTTGCTGGACATGGTGCATTGATGCATGCAGACCTCTTCTTGGGCTAATCCTTCTTTGTGTCTTTTGGGTTTCTGTCACTTGCACTGATGGCCAGTCTCATCTGGATTTTTAACAAGGCATCCTAATAGGTGCCAAAATAATATCAATAATGAAAAACATAGCTTCCCAGCTTGCTGAAAACAAGCCATCCAACTTATAAATGAATAAATGAGTTTATAACTACAAAATATCACACTAAAATACAACCCAGCCAGTCTTAAAAGTGCTACCAACATTTCTTTCCCTTTCCCTTCTCTTCCCCCTTTCATTGCTTGTTGTCATTGATGGTGTCTCACTCAGAATCTAGAGCAGGCATGGGTCAACTAAAATTTTTAAAATGTTTGAAAGCAATGCTTTTGGCTTTGGAAAGATTAGCCTTTTACAAGAAACGTTGCCCAGGGGACGCCCTACTGTATTTACTCAGTCTTCGAGGAGGCCCTTTCCATGTCCCTCAAAATTTTAGGGAGCTCCACTGGCTGCAGTTTATTTTCCGAGCCCAATTTAAGGTGCAGGTGCTTACCTACAAAACCCTAAACGGTTTGGGACCATCCTACCTGAGTGACTACATCTCCGTGTACGAACCCACGCGTTCACTTCATTCATCCGGAGAGGCCCTGCTCGTGATTCTGCCTGCGTCGCAGGCGCGTTTGGTGGGGACACAAGACAGGGCCTTCTCTGTGGTGGCCCCCTGACTCTGGAACATCCTCCCCAAAGATCTTAGACAGGCACCTACGTTGGCAGTCTTTAGAAAGACTGGCTGTTCCGATGTGCCTTTCCAGAATAGGGAAACTCCAATAACAAGTCCCAGAAGCACTTTATTAGAATTGAGATTGCCGTACACCGCACACTGCACTTACCCTATAATCCTTACATATCTCCTGTCACATCAGCACTTTTAATCCTGTACCCATTACTCTGGTCCGGCCCAGTTTTATTGTGTCTTGGTGTATTGTTTATTGCTTGTTGTTTAATTTTGCTTTAACTGTTTTAATTTTTTAATTGCTTTCGGTTGTGTATTGTTATGTTGTGTTTGAGGCCTTGGCCTTTGTAAGCCACATCGAGTCCTTCGGGAGATGCTAACGGGGTACAAATAAAGTTAATAATAATAATAATAATAATAATAATAATAATTAATTAGAATATCAGCCCTAGTGTTGTCTTATTCAACTGCTGAGTATGCCTGCCCTGTTTGGCACAAGTTTGCCCACGCAAAGCAGGTGAACATAGCATTGAATGAAACATGCAGAATAATCACAGGATGTCTTAAACCTACACCTGTTGATAAACTCTACAAGCTACCTGGCATTGCCCTCCCTGATGTGAGATGGGAAGTTGCCGCCAACTGTGAGATAAATAAGGTTGAACACTGTGAAAGCCATTCATTGCATGGCTATCAGCCTCCTACCAGTAGACTTAAATGAAGGAAAATTTCATGAGAACCACCAGCTTGCCTCAGCTTGCAGCACACACAGAATGACCAGGACCTGACAAGGTGTTGAGGATTCCTCATCGTCGGAAGAGGAAGGGGAGCAGGGAGGTGCTCAGGTCTTAGAGGGAGAGGAAGAAGAATCCGACAATGAGGCTTTGCAGGTGCCTACTTTTTTAGAAAGACGGAGGGAGTCAGAGACAGGTGGTGGTCAGCTCGATTAGCGGCTAAAAGATTGATGAACTAATTGGGTGACACCCTAAGTGAGGTATAAATCAGAAGCAGGAGAATGTAGCTTTTCGCTGCTAACAACAACTCTGTTACTGCCGGAACCTGCTTTGTGTTAAGGACTTCGTGATCTGTGCCTTATTGTCTGCTGATTTTGCTGGGACTTTTGCAAAAGACTTTCATTGGTGTCTGTAGTAAGACTTCCTTGTTTTCTTTTTCAATTGCATTTGCTTATTTGGGTTTGCTGGAGTAAAGCATTTTTCTTTTACTTTCAATTTTGTGTTGAGGCTCTTTTTTAAGAGCAAAACAGGACACAAGGCGAGCTGACCTTGTACACTGCATAGCCACACTTATCCCTATGTCTTATTTTCAGGGTATGGCTTATATTGCGCAAATGCTTAGAAATCCTGCTGTGGCTTATTTTATGGGTGTGTCTTATTTTAGTGGAAACAGGGTATTAAAAACAATTACATTGATTTCAATGGGGATTCCTCCCAGTTCAGCTTAAATCACATAATGGAAGCTGATTCCTTTTTTGAAAGATCAGTTTGAAAAGTTGAAATTAAAAAATAGAAAGCCAGAAGGCCCCTTTTGCCAAAGCTGAGTCACTGAAATGGGAAGATGGGCAAAGGTTTTCCAGATGGCTGGAGCTGAAGAGGGTTCTTCAGTCCCAGTCTGGGCCAGATTGGAGGATCGGTTCCAGGGAACGCTATCATTAGATGCCCAAAAGAAAGCAGGACTGAGAAAAAAGGAAGGATATTTAATTAAAACAACTGGGCAGCTTCCAAATAAACGTTTCTGAAACCAGCAGGGTGGCTGTTTATGACTTGCTCCAGAAGCAGTTGGAAATAACAAAGTCCTTCTCTCTCTCTCCACACCAATGGACCAGCATGGGTTGATTTTATTGTCCTTTTAAGGGCACTGAGAACAAAAATCTTCTTGGTAGGGCTTCTAATTAAATTGGTTTCTTAGTTCCTTTTAAAGAGGGTTAAAGAATGTGAATCCCATCACCACTGGTGGTTGGAAAGATTTTTTTAATTTAATAAACAGCCAAATAAGAGGTTTATAGCACTGTATACCAGACATGGCAGATAGGGAGGCAATAGTCCCAAACCCTTCAGTGAACAGTAGAGTCTTGCTTATCCAACATAAATGGGCTGGCAGAACGTCAGATAAACAAAAATGTCAGATGATAGAGGGATATTAAACATGTTTGCCTCTTTTTTTAGGGGCTAAAAAAATTGCCAGCTTCCCAACCCCATTTTGTCCCCCCTCTTCTCCCCTGTCCCCTTCCTTCCTGGCCCATCTGACTGACTCACCGCCAGTGGGGGCTTCATGCCCTTCTTCCTCTGCCTCCCTTCCCAGTCTCTCCAGCCTAGTTTTTCCTTGCTACATGGATGGGGAGCCCCACCCAGGAGGGAAGTTGATCTCTTGTTCTCCTTCCTTGGGTTGCAGCAACAGTGGCGGAGATGGACGCCAAAGCAGGCCCCACCCTCACCTTCCTCCAATTCCAGAAACCCCTTCCCTTGGATCCTTGCAAAGCCCTCAGCTGAGATTTTGGTGACCTGTTCTCCTTCTAGATCCATCTTGCTTCTTTCATCCATCCAGGAGCCGTGCACCATCCTTTTACCAAAGGGGAACCAAGGAGAAGCATGTGGGGAGCTCTCTTTCTCTCTCTTTGGGGAAGGCTTTGCAAGCTTTTGGGAGGGGGTTAACAATTGGGGAGGGTCATCATCGCATTGTCGTCCTGGTGGGCTTGACTAAGGGCTGTTCCCCCTGGCCACCCTGAAGTCAAGGGGACAGGAGAGATCTTTAAATGAGTACTGATGGAGTATCTTGTGGTTAACCGAGTATGATGTGAGTTGTAGTTTGCCCACAACCTTATGCATTTTGTACAATTAAATACAACTTTTCAAATAAAGCCTTCCATATCTTTCTATCTGGTAAGGCGGAATGTTGGATAAGCAAATGTCAGTTAAACGAGACTCTACTGTATTCAAACCAGAACTTGGAAAAGTTTCTTTCTTTTTTTTTTTTTAAACAAAAAATTATTGGCTGGAATGTTTCATTTGAGCAGTTACCATCAGAAAAAAGCCTCCAAGTTTTGTTTTGAAACCAATGGAAAAATGCTATATTAGCTTGTTTCTTCTACATACCCAGAAAATTCTTGACATGTTTTGAGAAATGATTAGAAAAAGAAGCATTTGACTTTTGATGGCAACAGCCCCCTTAAACTTCTGAATATAGGTGTTTAAAACCATAAGTAACAGAATTTGAGACTCTCTAATTACATGCAAAGTACAGCTCCCTGCTGTCATTGCTTCACGTTTAGTGTCTCCCAGCAGCTAATGGCCAGATCTACTAAACATTTCCAGCGCCTTATTCAATTTCACAAAAATCAGTGGGTATTCTTTCTCTTTGAAAACTACAGTTCTTTGAACCATAATCTCACGACTGTTAGATTATTGAGCAGCAAAATTCTTGGAAATGATAATAGACCCTCATTATTGCACGGTGACGAGATTGGCCAAAATGGTACTTTTCTGTGACAAGGGTGACTTGTACATGTGTGTGCACTAGTGGGCCTTTAGTGTGTAAGCCAAGTCAGCTAACTAAAGGAGAAGACTTTCTGCACACAGTTTATAACATAATTTATTTGCCGTGAAAATAAATACATATATAGTTGGTTCATTATGGGACATGAGTAATTGGCATCACAGCTCATTAATGAACAAGCTGAGGATTATGCACACAAACACACGCACACACACATACATTGATTCTGCAACAGTCAAGCACACATTAAGGTTAGTCTGAAGGAAAATATGACTCCTGGTGTTTTGGTTTAACACAGTTAGTGTCAAGCCGAATTAGGTCTGTTATTGTAGTTGTTGACTTCATTTATATCCCGTGGTTTGTTTCTTCTTCTTCTCAGAACTGGGACTTAAGGAGGGTTTCCAATGCAGCAAAAAAGTTTAGCAAAAACATAGAAAAGATCAACATTAAAGTGGAACTACTACTTCCTCCTCCTCCTCCTCCTCCTCCTCCTCCTCCTCCTCCTCCTCTTCTTGCTGTTGTTGTTACTCTATTTTATCCTGTCTTCTTCCGTATAGGGACTCAAGCTGGCTAACAATGGCATGACACAATAAAA